GGCCTTTAGCCTCCCCCCTCATTCCCCGCCAGTGTGGCCTGGCGGGCTGGCAGTTTTCCTAAAGTGCCTGTCCGTCCCTGTCGCGAAGGCACCGATCTGCAAAGTTTGGTGACGGCGCTGGGCCGCGGGAGCCGCGCGACTCCGTCACCGTCACCGTCACCGGGTAGCCCCGAGACAACTTTCCCACTTCTTTCGGCTCGGTCCAGTCCCGGCACTGCTCCCTCCGCTGACCCGGACCAGCTGCGTGGATCTCTGGGGCAGGAAGGACATGCCCAGAGCAGGAAGCCACGAGGGGAGAACGCAGGGTCTGCGGAGGCGGCCCAGGGACCCTCCCGCGTCCAGAGAGCACAATTCCCTCACCCCGGCCCCAGAGGCTGGACCAGTCCTCAGGTGGCTGCTCCAACAGACGAAGGCCCAGAGGCTGGCGGAGGAACGGGGTAGCGCGCCCCCTCTTTACTGCCTTCAGGCCCCTTCCCAGAGCGTGCGTGGTCACTCCTGAGCCGGCGCCTCGAGGAGCCAGCGGTGGGCACGAGCTCCTTGGAGCCTGCGGTTGCTCACAGAAGCTCCAGGGTTCCTAGTGCCCCCGCCCCACGCCAGCCTGACTTCGTTTTTCTTAATTACTCTGCAGCGGCTCCGCGCCAGCGTTCCTGGTTCCAGACCAAGGCCCGTCCCCGCAGCGCCAGGAAAGAAACCAGCCCAAGAAGCCTTCCCACTGGCCGGGCCGCCAGGTTCTGGGAGGCCAGGACCGGGTCGGGGCCAAGGGGGCTGTGATCCGAGCCGGAAGCAGCACCCTGGCATCTCCTGCGCGCAAATCTAAGGGGCCCCTTCTACCCCTTTCTCCTGTTCTCTCACGTCCACACGCATTTCTCAGCAAATAGAGAAAAGTGTTATTAACCCAAATCTTGTGCAGTGGCTGGGGGACAGGAGAGCATGGGGGCGCGTCTGTGCGTCTGTTGCCAAGCTGTCCGGGCCCAGGCGGTCTGCGATCTCTCCAGAGGGGCTGCCTGGCGGAGCGGCTTCCCTGCGCGGAGCCCTACCCCTACCAGACTGGAACACACCCTGCTGTGGATCGCTGGCGACTCCCAGAAGGGATCTAGCTCCCGTTTTAACATGCAAATATTGGGGGGTGGGGGTTGTCTCGACGTCAGTCAGTCACACCTCAGTGTGATTGACTCAAAGTAGCTGGCCTCCTCCACCTTTAAAGTTAGCGGTTCTAAGGACATTGAAGTTTAAATAAGCAAACTCGAAAACTGGAAAAGATTCCAAGGTTTTTAGAATCGGATCCCAAGCCAGGGAAGCGCATGAAACACTGCGGAAGCTCTCCGAGGGAGGCCAGGAGCAGCGGGCCGACCATTCCGCGCCTCTCAGATGTGGCCAGTGTACCCCCCAGCCAGAGGGTCGCCAAGGTTTAAGGAAGAAGCGCAGCCAACCCTCTGACCGCTCGGCCGCAGCCGCGCCAGCGCCTTCCGCGGCTGCCCTGCGCGGCCCGGGTCTCCGCAGTCCTGGGGAACTGAGCGAGCGCCGCCCGCTTTGGGGGTCACGGTTTTCAGTCCGCTGAAGCAATGGACCCCGCAGACCACAGGCCCGGGCCTTCTCCGCAGCCCTGCGCAGAGGCGGCCCAGGCCAGGAGCGAAGGCTGGGGGATGCAGGGGTCGGGAGGGTCCCCCCTGCGGCGTCGAGCGCGCCCCGCGTGCAGCGGGAGTTTGCGTCCCGCTCGCCCGCGGCCGGTCGAGGGCAGCTCTGCGCGGCCTGGCGGCGCGTCCCGCACTCGGGGAAGGCTCCATCCATGCCGGCGGGCGGGGCGCTCCTCTCCCTACAGGTTTGCTTTAATGATTTTCTTGAAAGAAAGAGACAGTTGTGAGCAAACAGGTCTGACAGGGACGGCTCCCCCACACCCCCAGGGGATTTCTTTTTGTCTGCGCCCGACTTCAAAGTCAGTACTCGGCCGCTGTCAGCGGCGTGACGAGCAGGATTCCGGCTGTTTGTCGGGGCGAGTCGCCGCCGCGCACGTCCCCCTGCGGCCGGCGGGACCCGGGAGCAGAAGCCGAGGCGGGCCCGGGGGCGACGAGGCCGGCCGCCTTC